GTTCCCCAGAGGTGGCCGGACGAGGCTCCGTCCCCTCGGCCCGGCGCGGTGTTGGGAAGGGGAGGGCGGAGGAGGGAGGCGCAGGCGGTGGGCGCGTGGGGAAGGCCTGCATGGTGCTGTGCCCTCCGCAGGTACGTCACCCACCTGATGAAGCGTATTCAGAGGGGGCCTGTCCGAGGCATCTCCATCAAACTCCAGGAGGAGGAGAGGGAGAGGCGGGATAACTACGTCCCTGAGGTAAGGCTCTGGCTGCGCTTAAGTGCCGGCATTGGCATCTCTCCCGCTTCAAGGCGGCTTCTCCAGCTGTGTCTCACTTAAGTGCCGGTGTTGGCATCTCTCCTGCCTCGAGGTGGCTTCTCCAGCTGTGGCTCCAGAGGCCTTAAACACCCAACCTCAGGCAGGAGGAGCCGAGGAGGGTTTTGGCCTTGTATCAGGGCGCTCCCTTGAAAACTGCTGCCTGGCGGGGGAAGGGCAGCTGACTTCTCTCGTTTCAGCTCTGCTGCCGGTCAGTGGATGATCCCCATTCTCAACTTTCCTAACTTAAAAAAATGAGGAAAAACCCTTGTCGGGATGCAGGAAGGTATTTCGGAGTGGCGTAAAGCCTGCAGGTGTCGCTGAAGGGAGGGAACTAGCAGAACCCCCTCCCTTGAACCTGCATTCGCCAGGGGTCGAGGTCTCACCAGCGATCCGGTTGTGGGTATCGCAGGCAGGAGCTCCCAAAGCGTCTCCTGTGTTGGGCGGGTCTGATCCCATCCCTCCCTTTGGACACGGTGCCTCTCGCCCCTCTCCCACATCTCCCAAACCGGGGTGCAGGGGTTTGGCTGTGTGGAAGGTGATGTAGGAGGAACTGGCTGGGGTGGCTGACCCTGTGTTTTACACACTGATCTTCCAGCTGCCTTTGGAAGTCAGGATGAGGCGGGAGAGTTCGCCCATGGGGAGAGCCGGAGCAGGGAAGCAGTGCATGTGCGGTAGCTGTCAGCGCGGCATTAGCTCAGCAGGCGTTAGTTGTGGCTTCGTGGGAAAATACCGGGGTGATGTAGCCTCTTGGGGAAAGAAGCACACGGAGAGTGAGGCTTGGGGACTGGCAAGGGTTGGAGGAGGTTGTTCTGGAATCAAAGAGCCGGAGAGCTCAGGTCTTGGGGTTGGGACAGCCGCGGCAGTCGGGCTGCAGCCTCGCGTCGTAGGACAAGTGCGGGTGTCAGTGCTGGAGCCCACCGCAGCTTGGCAGGCTTGGCGTGGAGCTGGTTAGGCCTTGGGTTTCCAGAGGCTTGCCCTTTGCCCTGTGCAGGGCCTCGCTGCTGCCGGCTGGCCTCTCACGGTGGTGTGGCAGGAGAGCTGGGCTCTGTTGCGGTCCTTCTGGCTTGTCTCACGGGCAGAGAGATCTTGTTCGTGTTGGACGTGACCAGAGGGGGCGTGTAAGGGATGCCCCCAGCAGGGACGTGGCTGCGGGATCTCGTCACACTGTCTCTCTGCTGTCCCCAGGTCTCTGCCCTTGACCAGGAGATCATCGAAGTGGACCCGGACACTAAGGAAATGCTGAAGCTCCTGGTGAGTGGCCTCGGCTGTCCCCCTGCCCGGCTGGTGGCCTGTCTCCGGCAGCGCTCCCACTGCTCCAAGGGGCTTGATGGTGTCGGCTAAAGTGGCTGCGGGATCTCGTCACACTGTCTCTCTGCTGTCCCCAGGTCTCTGCCCTTGACCAGGAGATCATCGAAGTGGACCCGGACACTAAGGAAATGCTGAAGCTCCTGGTGAGTGGCCTCGGCTGTCCCCCTGCCCGGCTGGTGGCCTGTCTCCGGCAGCGCTCCCACTGCTCCAAGGGGCTTGATGGTGTCGGCTAAAGACTTCGGCGCTCTGG